TCTTTGTAATCTGAGATATTTATATGTTCTCATTTTTAGAAGTGAACAGTAGGGAGACTACATTATTTATCTGAATTCAGAATGTCAGGATTTACAGACTAGAATTCCTTAGAATGAAATATCTGTGTCAGAAAACCTAATTGTTTTCAAATATGATAATCAGCATTGTTTGCAAAATGTTAAACATAAAGTAATTGATAATGCAGTACCTCAACAGATGGAATTGCCCGCACTGGAGCAGCTGGGTTTAATGAACTACGCAATGCAGTGTTTGCCAAGGTGGCACAGAACTCAATCCGAAAGATTGCTGGCAACGTCTTCCTTCACCTTCACAGCCTTGACTTGAATTTCCACCTGAATCGGCAAACAGGAGCACTCTCCAAAGCCATTGATCGGGGGAGCCGGGGAATAAATTTTGTCATGTCGGCACTTGTTTTCAATATCGTGCCCACAATATTTGAAGTTAGCTTAGTGGCAGGTATATTGGTAAGTGACTGAAAGGTTTGTTTTTTATGTTCAGATATTGTAGGATTGATGTTTAAAGAAAGATGATAATAACACTAAAGCAAACAAAGATGTTCTGATAAAAATATTTGTAAATTTTGTCTACAGGCATACAAATGCGGTTGGGAATTTGCAGGTGTAACTGTGGCCTCAATTATGGCATATGCAGCCTTCACTCTGGGTATTACACAGTGGCGTACTAAGTTTAGGGTGGATATGAACAAAGCTGAAAATGCAGCAGGGAACCGAGCCATTGATTCACTCATCAACTATGAAACTGTGAAGGTTTGTGTAACTTGGCAAGTTTGTTTCTGTAGCAGAATATAGGCAATACAGGAAATGGCTATGAAACTTTTATTCATTTATACTTATTTCAGAGAAAATGTGCATGATATGCTTGGTTAACAATGAATTTAAGACCGTTATTACCTTTTTTTTATATATATACACACATGTTTAGTTTTTTTTTTCATATTGTTATTAATTGTATATGTGATCTATAATTTTTTGTAAGGAAATAAGAATTATAATAATTTCCTTATTTCATTATCACTATTATTTTGTATATACAGAACAAAACTAAACTAATGTTTCGTTTTCATTTATTACAGAATGCCCCAGACTGTATACCTCTACAAGTAACTCCTCAGAATGCAGACATTACTTTCAACAATGTATGTTTTGAGTACAATGAAAATTACCCCATCCTGAATGACCTTAACTTTACAGTGCCTGCTGGGAAGAAAGTTGCTATTGTTGGTGGTTCGGGTTCAGGGTAAGTTTTTTTTTTTTTTTATTATTGTTATTATTATTATTATTATTTGTTGTGATGTAAGCATACTGTTAAAATAACTTTTTTTTACACTTGTGTAGGTAATTTGACTGTGGGTGATCTAGTGATGGTCAATGGATTGTTATTCCAACTGTCCCTGCCGCTCAACTTCTTGGGGTCTGTTTACCGTGAGGTTCGTCAAGCACTTATTGACATGCAGACAATGTTCACGTTGATGAAACAGCCAACTACTATAAAGGTACTGTTCCCTTCTTTAGTATCTCTATTTTAGATCTATTTAAATATGTATATATATATACACATGTTTAGTTTTTTTTTTCATATTGTTATTAATTGTATATGTGATCTATAATTTTTTGTAAGGAAATAAGAATTATAATAATTTCCTTATTTCATTATCACTATTATTTTGTATATACAGAACAAAACTAAACTAATGTTTCGTTTACATCTATTACAGAATGCTCCAGACTGTATACCTCTACAAGTAACTCCTCAGAATGCAGACATTACTTTCAACAATGTATGTTTTGAGTACAATGAAAATTACCCCATCCTGAATGACCTTAACTTTACAGTGCCTGCTGGGAAGAAAGTTGCTATTGTTGGTGGTTCGGGTTCAGGGTAAGTTTTTTTTTTCCTTTTTTTTTTTTTTTCAGTATTTCAATAATGAAGAGCATGAAGCCAAGGAATATGACAAATATTTGAAAAAATACGAAGGGGCATCTCTGAAGACGGCAACTTCCCTGGCCTTGCTCAACTGGGGACAGAATGCAATATTCAGTGTTGCTTTATCGACTATGATGGTTCTGGCAACAAAAGAAATTCTTAATGGTAAGGTTGGGTGCTACATGTTGGTTTGTTTTATTTTATGTTTATGTTTCTTTTCTTTCTTTTTTTTTCTTTTTATTATTATTGTTATTGTTATTGTTATTATTGTTGTTATTATTGTTATTATTATTATTATTATTATTATTATTATTTGTTGTTGTGATGTAAGCATATAGTTAAAATAACTTTTTTTTACACTTGTGTAGGTAATTTGACTGTGGGTGATCTAGTGATGGTCAATGGATTGTTATTCCAACTGTCCCTGCCGCTCAACTTCTTGGGGTCTGTTTACCGTGAGGTTCGTCAAGCACTTATTGACATGCAGACAATGTTCACGTTGATGAAACAGCCAACTACTATAAAGGTATTGTTCCCTTCTTTAGTATCTCTATTTGAGATATATTCAAATATGTATATATATACACACATGTTTAGTTTTTTTTTTCATATTGTTATTAATTTTATATGTGATCTATAATTTTTTGTAAGGAAATAAGAATTATAATAATTTGTTTATTTCATTATCACAATTATTTTGTATATACAGAACAAAACTAAACTAAACTTTTGTTTTCATTTATTACAGAATGCCCCAGACTGTATACCTCTACAAGTAACTCCTCAGAATGCAGACATTACTTTCAACAATGTATGTTTTGAGTACAATGAAAATTACCCCATCCTGAATGACCTTAACTTTACAGTGCCTGCTGGGAAGAAAGTTGCTATTGTTGGTGGTTCGGGTTCAGGGTAAGTTTTTTTTTTTTTTCTTTCTTTGTGATACTGGTGCAAGAAGTCCCATAAAGACCTGTTTGTTTGAAATAGTTTGATTGTATATTCTCATGAAAGTTGGTGTTTAGGTAAAGTTATGGTGTAAGAACATTGAATTTTTATGAATAACCTGATGTGTGTATTTGCTTCTTCTCTTCAGAAAATCAACAGTCATCCGTCTGTTGTACCGCTTTTATGAGCCCAAGGCTGGGACCATTACAATAAATGGACAAGATATTAATTCAGTAGACCTGGACAGCCTGAGGAAGAGCATTGCTGTGGTTCCACAAGTATGTGATAATTTTTCTTGCCTTCCAATTGTTTGAATGTTAATTTTAAGAATGCATTATTGTTATTGCTGATAACGAAGGGGGTGGACTACCCTACCAATAATTTATAAAAAAAAAAGTTTATTCCACATTCCCCTTATACATACATCTTTTGCTCTAATAAAGCCCTGAATGCTGGTGTGAAATACCAGCACTAATCTTTGGTATTTTTGTAATTTTGATGTCTTCTTGTTGCATTACGGTGTTCCTGTTCTGGTTTTTAATTCATTTTGAAAGTCGTCACAAGTATCCTTTTGAAGATCTTGCAAATAATTTTCGCCTCCCCAAAAACCACAAAGTGTCCGCTACTGTTTGCATGGCATGTTTAATGCATACTGAGAAAAATCTGGGTTGTGTTTTACTGGTGGAAGTCAGATAATTAAATAGCACTTTTGGGATCATTTGCAAAAGATTCTACAGATCCCTTTTTTTTTTTAGCACAAAACGTTCTATTTTTTAAAAGAATGAGTTGCAGCCATAATGTTGGCAGTTATTGTTCCATGAAATAAACTCTGTGGAACTTTTGATTGCTTCAGGCTTGTTATTAACATGCACTTTTTCTGTTACAGGATTGTGTGCTGTTCCATGACACTATAGCTTACAACCTCCACTATGGTGACCTGTCTGCAGATCCCAGCAAAGTAGAAGAAGTAGCTCAACTTGCTGATATTCACCACTCAATTCAGAGCTGGCCCAATGGCTATAACACTCAGGTAAGACTTTAATTGGGGTGTCAGTGCCCATAGGCAAAGATGCCTGGTCTTAGAATATATTAGCTGAATTATATGATAGAAATTGAAGTAAAAGTGCTGTGGGATCACTCCTCCCTCTTTGTTCTTTTCTTAATTTTTCTCTTCTTCCTCCTCTCCCCTTTCATCCATTCAGTTGTGGCTCATCTGCCATCATCTCTACCTACTCCACTTCCTTCTCCCTTTTGCTCTTTTATTCACTTCAATTTTATTCACAGGTTGGTGAACGTGGCCTGAAACTTTCGGGTGGGGAGAAGCAGAGGGTTGCCATTGCACGAGCCATCCTGAAGAACGCTCCAATACTAGTTTTCGATGAAGCAACTTCTTCTCTAGACTCCCTTACAGAACAAGTAAGACACATTTAGGGATTGCCTCAATTTCAAACACTCTTTAGTGTGATTCTGAGTTATAGTTTGATTGATTTTGGGGGTTAATTCTGCAGGCAAATGATTACTAATTAATTTAACAATACCTATCTTTTCTTTTAGAGTATAATGGAAGCTCTGCGACATGCAACCAAGGGAAGAACTTCAATCTGCATTGCTCATCGCTTATCAACAGTTATGGATTCGGACGAAATCCTTGTGTTGGCTGAGGGCAGGCTTCAGGAGCGCGGGACGCATCAGCAGCTCTTGGCGCTTGGTGGGCACTATACAAAGCTCTGGAATTCACAACACAAAGTTGATGAATAAAGATGTGATTTAATAGTTATGCTAGTAGTTGAAGAGATTTGTTTTCTTGTATATTTTATTGTATATTTCTAGATGATCTGCTTGCTGATTAATATCATTGTTGTTCTGTGAATTCTTAAATGTTTAATTTATTATAAATCAGTATATTTATTTTACTGAAGATGACATTACTTGTCAAGAAAGAAACTTCTTTTGTTCTAGAAAAAATATAGTTATGCAGTATCACTAGACAGAAAAATTTATTTGATCTGATTTAAGGTCTTCCAGTATGTATATTATGTGTGCATGTATGTATATATATTATATATATATATGTGTGTGTGTGTGTGTGTGTGTATATATATATATGTATATATATATATATATATATATATATATATATATATATATATATATATATATATATATATATATATATATATATATATATATATATATTTTTTTTTTTTTTTTTTTTTTTTTTATGTACTTATATTTATGCATGTAGATACAATTTTATTTATGCTCTACATAATGTTTTAAAGAAAAACAAGATGTTGTTCAGTTCCAGATTAAAAAGTTCATGCAGGTTTTTCTGCTAGACAAGAAATGTCAACCAGTAAGTATACATATACCTTAGTGTACTTGGACTATTTATATTAATTACACTATTAAACATTGTATCAAATATTCTATGTGGGTCATGTACAAATAAAATTTAGTCTTTGGAATTTATAACAGCATTATTTGATTATTTAACACTTCAGGACCATTCATATTTGGAATAAGACATGGCTCAGCCAAGCACAGTGTTCTATGTTACATATTCCAAAACATAAAATATAATGCATTTAGCTTGCATCATAGACCTGAGGTTATGTAGGCCTTGGATCTACATAGGAAAAAAGTCAGAGATGAAAAGTGGAGATAAAGTTCAATTTTATTATCAGCTGGTTTGAATTGTAAAACCTGATGTAGGCCGAGGGTTTACTTATTACATGTTATTAAAATCATTTATTTGTTTCTTTATTTTTTACATCCTTGGTGTTACCTGCAAGAATTATAATTTATGTATTTAATAATGGTAACAACAGTGTATCAGTTTGCTTCGCATTTATGTGAGACATGTATAACTAAATCCGTGTAAGCATGTAAAGTGAGTTTTTGTGTTGCTTACTTGGGGTCTAGTGGAGGCACTGAAAATACAATAGTTCAAACCACATCATCTTTTAAATGGTAGTAGATCAATTACTCTGTCTAGTGAAAATACTGAACAGCAGTTTCTCATGGTCTTGTTTATGTGAATGGCTCCCAACTTTTAGGTTTTGGTTAAACATAGTGAGCTGGTGAGAGGATTGCTCCACCGGGCTGTAATGTAAGCCACATGGAGACTTATTTGAAATTTGCCATGCACTTCAAGGATTAATTGTAAATAATTTACAGTATTTAATTAATTTTGAGTGAGATATAATGTATATAAATAATAATTGTTAGAACTGGTTAATATGAATATAAATTGACTTGGGAGGTATTTCTAAGGTTTTACTTTGGGGAAATGTAAATAAGAAGTAATGAAAGAAACTGTACAAAATATGTAATATAACAACTTTTTCAGAGGTTTGTTTTTCATGATCCTTTTACTTTAAGATGGTTTTGATAAGAAAAAAAAATTGTTCTTTCATAATTGATAAGAAAAACCCATATAACATGTAACTAGTGAATGTGATGGTCTTCAATGGAAAATGAAGAATTTTGCAAGTAGAACCTACATCATTCCTTATCAATAATTTTAAATAATCGGTTGGTCAGTCATCATTCTAATTTTCTTAAATTAGTTCATATGTAGACAGAGGCATGTTTGAATAAGGCATTGTGCCTGCCATGTCCACCTGGACTAATTGTAAAATTCATACTTAAAAACTTTCAGTGGATTGGGTCTCACTTCTAGTTTTACCCCTATTTAAAGCATAATAGGTCTTTGGTACTTTTCTTTAATAATTTAATTATGTAAGGCAAGTTTTTTGTTCATTTTAATAAATTTAAGGACTGTTTAAATGTTATAACAAATTTCATAAAATTCCTGAAATTTCCATAGGCAAAATTTAGTTCTTAACCTAATTAACCCATGTTTGAGAATCACTCCCTCAATGTATGAGGGATTACTAAATTCTGGATTTTTTTTCTCTGTTTTACAAAGGAAATTTTGAATAGAATAGTGGACAGTATGTACACAATTTTGTGATCAAGTGAATATATTTTAAAAATAAAGTAAAAAGGTACTTTCGATGATTGCTTATCTTCAGAAACACTTGTTCTGAAGTTTCACACAATTTTATTGTATACAGTACTCATAGGCAATAAGTCTTGATTCAAACAAAAATAACATTAGGCATTATTCCAATAGATTGTTTAATGTATTATGTATGCTGTCATTCATGAGAAAATCAGTCTGTTTTATTACAATGTTTCTTTTATTATAGCTGCAGTATCAAAGTATCAAGATGTAATCCTTTGCATAACCAAGATGAAGAAAAAGTGGGTAAACAATAATTAACTAATTGATTGCTGTGGCATGCAAGCCTTGTCTTAATTTTGCCATTCCATATTTTTTTATTATTAATACTATATAATAAAAAAAAAAATGAAAACTCACCTTCTTACACACAGTAAATGCTCACAGTCAATAGTGTTACTTTTTCATTTTAGGAATGATTTTTCTAAATTCAGGTGCATATTTTTTTTAACATAGGTATAGGTATAATAATAAAAAGAGAAAAAAATGCTCCAACCACTCTTTAATCCAAGCTGCTTATCACAGTTGACAAATCAGTACCAAGCTGTAAGTAAGCTATCTGGAAAATGTAAAGACTGCATATGCAGGACTAAACTATATGTCTGAGGCATAACAGAATTAACCTAAGCTAAACAAAAATAAATGAGGAGCAAATAATTCTTTGTTTTATAGGTGTTCTGGGTAATTACGTACATTGGAGAAAATAAAAAGAGTAACTAAAATGTGTACATTTTACAATATCAATTCCTCAAATTAAAATACTTCTGGGGCATAGAGTGGCAAGGGAATCTCAATTGAGGAATTAATATTGGGAACCAATTTTACCAGTTTGGTAAAAGTTCCTGAACTGTTGACTATGGACTACTCTCTTTCCTGTAACACATCAGTAACAATGATCAATAATGATAATAACAATTATAATGGCAATAAAATTGAAAAAATAAACACTGTTATCATGACGATAAATAATGATGAAACTAACAAATAAAATATTTATTAATGATCATCATTAATAACTAATCACAATTATGATTATTAACAACACTATTACTGACAAGAAAAACAAAACAAAAACAAACTATAGTGCATGATAACGTGGGTAATGATAACAAAAGGATCTTAATCATTGTCATCATCATCATCATCATCATAAGAATAAATGAACAATAATAAAAAACACTAACACAGTATTATGATAATACTCATGGAGACCATGAATATAATGCTAATGAACATGGTAATAATAAGAGAGATCAGGTTTATGACATTATTGGAATGATACTCCTAATGATATTCACAGAACAAATGAACATAAAATAACAGCACAAACAGATATTACACAACTGCTAAAACTCAAACTGAGTAGTCTTATCAACTGTACCATTAAAGCTGCCCTGCATAAACCACATCCACACAGCAGAGGAACAAGTACCATCAGAGAATATAATGAGAATTAAAACTGTTCTTATTTTTAAGATTACAAATGAATGCAAGATATAAGTAAACCTTTGTGAGATTTTGATCATAAACCAACATTCAAAATTAAATTTTGTTTATTTACACAGAGTAAGAACATCACACTGGATATACAGCAATAATGTAAAATAATACATTCACCATCAAGACTGATAATTTACAGTAACCATAATTCTGAATAAATCATATGTATTATATACTTTTGGCAGTTTGGCAATAAATACCATAGCAGGTATGGAAGATGTACAGCAGGCATTCCATCTCTACATATGGCACTTTGATGTTTCCTTTATGCAAAAGGTAGCAAGAAATTTTGCATTGTAGCTCTGGAGGATTACCAAATATGTATAGTTCTTAGCTGCATATTAAGGGAAAATCATATGCAAGTATTAGAATGTCAATATAAGGCTTTGGGGGTGATAATCTTAAACCCTCTTGCAACTAGGCTCTGCCTCACATCTGAAAAGAAGACGAAGTAGAGAGAGAGAAAAAAAAATTAAACTAAAAATCACAGAGATATAGGAAAAATGAATGAAATCTTTTATCATTCAAAAACATCCAGAAAAATCACTTCACTTTAAGAAGACACCAAGGCAGAATCATGTGCCCACAGTCTACAAGTCTGCTTCTCAGAGAAGTATTTCATTTCATAGTGCTAAGCTTCACAATACATCAGATTTTACAGGTAATGTTCACTTGTTTCTAAAAGAAGTTAAAACACCTGCAAAGCATCAGGTAACTGCCAAGTACTCTGTCACAAACAGAGATTGTCATGAGAGGTGAAAGGTTCAGTGTTGTTGCAAGTCAGGTTTCTTCTACATTTCTACAGTTGAAAAATTACAAAACAAAATTAAAATGGGTATAACTGTTCTCATATCTTATTTTATTTTATTTTTTATTTTTTTTTTTGGTTGAGGTATTTACATCTTGAGCTCAGACTCTTACTCACAGCTTGAGCTTTTTGTATCTTGTATCTTGTTTGTTCAGCACGATCATGCTTCATATGTCAACTGTTCAAGACGTGACATTTGTTTGAACTCTAAATTCTTAAAAATTATATCTGAAGTTCTTTATTCCCCACATTATATAACAGCAGACAGGTTTACCTTCAGCACTGACCAGTGTCCCAGGGCATAAAAATTGTATAAAAAGACATTGTGCTACATAGGTGTTGGGTCAAGGTACTTCGAAGGTCATCAGGTGCTGAAGATACTGCAGCAAAATTGCCTAAATTCTCATTACCACTCCCTGACATGGAATAGAAATATAATAAAACAAGAAAATATGGTTGTCTACACCTATCTGTAGCTTTTGTCAGAATACAAATAAATATTCCATTTGAAGTTTTGCTTTCTTCTATATCGCAAACACCTTTAACATTTAATATCTTAAATAACCCTATTTAATTCACAGCTTTATCAGTAGTATACACTCTTTGTGACAAGTGGAACAATAAGGAAGCTAACACTTTCAACATGATCAGACTTTTCTTACACATTATTATATACACAAAACAAAGAAATGGTAATAATAATAGCAAAAAAAAAAACAAAAACAAAATAAATATACTCTTAATGCTAAAA